GATCTACCGCACACGAAGAACGCAGTGTTTGCAATGTTCTCGGAGTCGACCTCGTCCAAACATCGTCAATCGGAACTGTCGAATCCTCGTGAACGATTGGATTCAGATTCAGGGACGCGATCCTCTGCGTCGCCTATTCGGAAAGTGCGGTCACCGCTTCCAACGGGGGGCAGTGACATGACGACGTCGGCTCCGAAGTCCCTTTCCTCGGAAGCGGCAGAGTCTCGGACAGGGCCTAAACATTCACCTACTCCTAAAGCCAGTAAGAACATCACTCCACTAGGAGAAAAGCGTTCTGCGAGCTTTACTGAGGAGTCTACCAGTGTGATGCATACTACTACTCCCATGCAAAGGAGTGTGGGACATGTAAGTCGAGACCATTTCTTTAATTCATTTCATTTGCCGAAACGTCTTTGTTGCATTTGTCCAAGTTGGTGCATGCAGTTTCATTCAATATCTCTAGTGCTTCTGTTATTACATAGCTTCCAGTCGATACATGTACACCGTTTTCAAAAACCACTTTTTATTTCCTTACTTAAGTCTCCACAATTTACTTTTAAGTCAACTACACGTTTTCCTTACTGCTTCATGCAAATTCAAACAACACGTCCCATTCTCTTCATTCTGCATTACTTGCCTTGAGTCAGAAAACATTCTCAGCAGATGGGAGTTTTGTTAGCTTTTCCATTTGACATAATTATCTACGATAGCCTTTTCTGACCATTTTTTGCTGAATTCTTTGAATTTCTATCCACGTATTCATGTGACACAAGCCCAAAAGCTAAGCTCTCATCGCGATCAGTTTGTTTTTGAAAACACGAACATACAAATAAAATCCTGGCAATTAAGTCGTTGAATATTTAGAGCAAAATAAGTGTCTTTGCTCAGGTACTTTGGTAGAGGCAGTTGCGCTATACTTAAATATAGGCAGTCGTGCTAACCACCTGAGCGGTCAGTTTTGAATCGAATTGGTTGAGTTTTGAACTGAATTGGCAATTGTCAGTTTCAGATTGGCACAATTTATAACCACAAGTAATCTAGTACTAGTTGTGTTTGCTTTTTACATGCCAATCATTGTGGGTTTACTTTCCAAAATTTCAACTTTTTCAACTTCTGTTTCTCCTTCACTGGGCATCAAGATCGTTTTCAAGTGAAAACTTTGCACATTATTTGTTATGAGGTAGATATTTGATGTCGTGCTACTACGTCGATCTGTTTATTGGCTCACAAAACATGATTTACGTTACACTTTCCAAAGTGTACATAAGAATAAGAACATAGTGCTGAGAGCTAAAGGTGTTCTTCAGTAAT